CAAACAGAACCCGGAGGTCAAAATTGCCAGATTGGCCCATGAGCCACCGCCTTCTGGCATAGGACTCTAGGCAATTTCATAGATACAAATCTATATATATATATATATATATATACATGCAAGTTGAATGTAAACAGCCAAGATCAAATATTATGTTGAATATGTGCAAAATTAATCTCTACGCACAGGGCACGGCGTGACCAGCCGATTGATAGAATCGGGCCGATTCTACCACCCGTCTAGGTGAAGTAAGGGTCGAAGTGGTGTATTGGGCAAAGGAACACTGTTCCTGGAACCAGTGCCCTCAACCACCAGAATCCCGTCCTCCACCGACACAGGGGCGCAACCCACGGCAAACGGGTTGGTGGACCTAATATCCCCCCGGGTCCACAACGGGGGTTCGAAGGGCGCTTAGTGTGACCCAGCACCCACCACGAGAAGGTGGCCCTTCATGGGTGCCTCATGTTTAGAGACCCTCTTACACCTTTTTGATGATATTTGGACATCAGGTAACTTTCCTCCCTCATGGCGTGACGCTATAGTCGTACCAATACCTAAACCTGGACGTGATCATACAGATCCGTCAAATTATGGACCTATTTCACTTACTAGCTGTGTTTGCAAAACCATGGAACGCATGATAAATAATCGACTTGTTTGGTACTTGGAAACAAATAACCTTATAACAGATATACAATGTGGTTTCCGTAAAAACAGAAGTACTGTTGATCACTTAGTGCGTTTGGAATCATTTCTTAAAAGCGCTCTAATTAATAAACAACACTCTGTGTCTATCTTTTTTTATCTTGAAAAGGCATATGACACTACGTGGAAATATGGGATTTTAAAACATTTACATGGCTTCGGATTGCGAGGTCGTTTGCCTCAATTTTTAGCCAACTTTTTAAAGGACAGACAATTTCAAGTCCGCGGAGGTTCTAACCACAGGCCCCCACTGCGGGTCAGAAAATCGATAAACTAAGCCCTGGTTTACTATCCAGTCCCCCTACTATAAAGCATGTAAAGATTCATCACAGAAATATGGTGATATGATCGAAAACCGGACGATGTACGCACACGTCAATGAATATATCGTATTTTAAAGGTCTCACAATTTTCCAAAGTTCTTGTCCATATCTCCGATGTGTGTAGGGGGCATATACATGCGCTTTCCGTGGGGATGCATTTGATGGTTTTTATTAAATCGCCAAAGACTGAGTTGCTGTGCCGGAAGTATACAAAACTAGGTCGTTTCCAATTCTAAGTTGGGAGGGGATCAAGCTACCCTCCTGTATCTATATAGATCACTGGTCCGCTCGAAGCTTGATTATGGCTCCATTTGTCCATGGTGGAGCCTGCAAAAGCAACCTATAACTTTTAGATTCTGTCCACAACCAAGGCCTAAGACTTTGTCTTGGGTCTTTTCGAACTTCTCCTGTTGACATTCTCTAAGTTGAGGCAGATGAGCCATCTCTTGCACAAAGCCGTATAAAACTATCTTTACAGTATATTACAAAACTATATTCCAGCGAATCAAACCCTGCATATAACTGTGTCTTTAATCCTCTTTATGTGGATTTATACACCAAGAAACCTGCTCTTGTTCTGTCTCTTGGGCTCAGAATTAAACCGTTCATTTCTGCTGCCGGCATTGAGCTGGACAATATATCTCCTTCCCTTCTTCTTTCTTCTACTCCTTGGCAATTGGTTAGGCCACAAGTTGACGTAACATTAACAGCATTGTAAAAAGCAGAAACTAATGAAGTACAATATAAACAAGAATATAATCAATTAAAAAGTAAATATAATACATATAAATCCTTATTTACAGATGGGTCCAAGGATGGTGGCGCGGTGGCTTGTGCCACTGTCATTGGATCCAGAACAATCTCTTCTCGACTACCAGATAACAGCTCTATTTTCACAGCAGAAGCTAACGCCATATTAACAGCGCTTAAATATATTCATAAATACCGTAAATATAAACAATATATAATATTTTCTGATTCTCTTTCGTGTCTACAGGCTATTAAAAATCTTTCTTTTAAGCATTTATTGAATTGTATAATGAGCTTGCTAGTGGTCAGTGCGACATCGTCTTTTGTTGGTTACCCAGCCACGTTGGCATTTCTGGGAACACAATGGCTGACCTTGCTGCCAAGGCAGCACTAAATAAATCTGTGACACCACTTCTTATTCCATATTCTGATTACAAAGCTGGCATTAGAACTTACATCATTGATCTGATGCAGAAGAAGTGGGACACCCAAGTAGGTATTAATAAACTACATGAAATAAAACCTTATATTGGTTACACTCACTTGGGTTGTCAGTCCAGATTTGAGGAGGTCATCATGCGACGATGTCGCATTGGCCATACAAGGTATACTCACAAATACTTGTTGAAAGGTGAAGATCCTCCGTTTTTTTATCCCTTGTGATGAGAGAGTCACAGTCAAGCATCTCCTGCTTGACTGTGTTGAATTCTCCATCATAAGGGATAAATATTTCAATGTTAAAACTGTTAAGGATCTTTTTAACTCTGTTCATCTTCATTTAATTCTTGCTTTTTTAAAAGAAATTGATTTAATTAATGAATTTTGATAAATATGTTCTGTAGATAGATGTGTTTTAATGATTGGTAGTGTAGATTATCAGCTAAGATTGTTAGTGGCTGTATCCTCAAAGGGGGTTGAAGTAGCGTAACATTATTGTCCTACTGAGAGGGTACGTATGTCCCAAAAACTTTCAAAGTAAAATTTTCACGTACTGTGTTTTTAAACGTAGAATTCATGTCATTTTAGTTTGTGGCTAAATTGTCCTACAATCGCCAACAGCTGAAGGGATGGTGTAAATCCAACTAGGGTCCATAAACGTAGCAAAAGTAATGTAAGTCCCCATGGTTCCTAGTATGGTGATCTACCTTCAGTTGTTGGCGATCTCTAGCCCGTGTTTATATTGTGTTGTCTTCGTAAATAAAATAGTTTTACCTGTTCATGCTAGTTTTAGACTCCATCTGTGATACTCTAGTTATTTTACAGTCCTTCGATGACTGATTATTTAGCAACTTTAATTTATTGTTTCTGTAAAACATTTCTCGTCACTATATGGCTGAAATATTGCCGAGGTGACGTTACATTCTCACTCACTCACTCACTCCATGTAATTCCGTATGTCAGTCCGTGTGTCAGTCTGTGTGTCGCACCACACAACAGCCAGCCTTTATATATACTGACACAGATTCTCGAACTTTCCAGCAAAGCATTGCTGTATCATTAAACATTTAGATCTTTCTCGAAACATGTTGAACATACGACACGACGATGTCAACACATAAACATCCGGTCAAGGGAGGTAACTCTGGAGCGCTATCATAAAGGCGTGCCGCTAAAATACTGTTGCCACTGAACATATATGACACGAAATGTGACCCACAACCAACACTCAAAACTTTAAACATTGTGACTCATAATTATTATCACCTAACCAATGTTATTAAAAATTACAAAAAAACACACTCTCGTAACAATACTCTAGTTACTTTACTGTCCTTTGTCGGCAGGTTTTATAATCTCTGTATATATTCTATTTCAATGTCAAGTGTTCTCGCTACGATATAGCTGAAATATTGCCGATGTGACGTTAAATAATAACTCACTCACTCACTCACCCAAACGTCACTGTTGGTTCTTGATTATTAGTGACACAGGTCGTAATACATGGCGGTATACCCTGAATACTTCACATCACGCTGTAGCTGTACGTGTGGTTTTACTGTATGCTCAGTCAGTGTTCCCTCTTTGTCTCAAGGCGCTCTCTGATCAACTTCGCAAGTGTTGTGTCATCATGGGTGACTTGCTTCCACATAGGGAAGTACACATACACGTAACCCGGGCTTACGCGACGCCGATATAACTAAATTTGCGGCTTTATAACCACCGGTATACGTCCCCAGTTCGTCAAACACAGTGCAGTTATCCCCTAATTATCAGCTCCTGAAGCATTTATAAGAATCATATTTTGGAACTTCACTGAATATATTTGATGATGTTTGGACTTCTGGTAAAGTCGGCTCCATCATACATGGTGGTGTTTATAAAAGCAATTTATAGCACTAGATTCTATTCGTTATCAAGGTCTGATGATTTGCCTTGGACTCTCCTGAACATCCCCGAGTCATAGTTGTTCACGTGGAATCCATCTTGGGTATCATGCATATAGCAAAAATGCCGTAAGTCTCCATCATGGTCCCCATTATGGTGGTTTATGGTATTATTATAATCTATTTATATAGCGCCGAGTTCCAGCTAGGCTGCTCACAGGCGCTTTGGTTTTCCCTCGATCATAGCATGTCAGTCTCAACGGCACTTCGTATTATCAATCTCAACTCCCTGGGCAACATACAACTCTTGCAGCCACTAAGCGCACCGAGTTAATGTGGCTTTCCCATCCTTACGAGGTACCCATTCACGGCTGGGTGGACTGGGACACATAGTCACAGTTCTTTGTCCAAGTTTATTGCACGTTGCTATACCCGCAACTAGGTGTTTGCACGTATTCATGTGGCCACCATCTGGTCATTTATACCAACGGATTTCGTGGGTTCTTTTAAGTGCACAGGGTTGTGTACTGTACACTAGGGGTTGTGACAACACTGAAAGAGTCTGCACACAAAGTCGACTCCAAGATTTTCACACCCGGTCACAAGTGGGCTCGATCCCGGCATCTCAAGCTCGCTGGATTACTAGACTGGCGCCTTAGACAAGCTCGTCCATCTGTAGCCAATTTGTATCATGTACTGATGAATAGTGGTATAAGGTTAGATACATATACTTGTATGATACTCTGGTTATTTTGCTGTTTTTCGGAGACCGGTTTTATATACATACTATGATTTATGTGTTCTTAATGAGTACTGTTGTTTCAGTCACAATATGGCTGACATATTGCCGACGTAACTATAAATTGTAACTCACGGACTCAATAAACTTCACACATACCCCTGGCATTATCGCACGTTCAATGTCTTTCATGATGGCTGTAAAATTCTCCCCTTTTCTAGGAGCTCTAGATGGCAGTAGATCACGGAGGTAGCCCGGCTCCACTTCTGGTGTCACCCTCCTCAAGGACAAAGTGTCCATGTAATCAGCAATATAGTCCACCATCTCCTTCCCTCGATCTCTAAACTCGGACGAATCCATGTCTGTGAAAGAGGCATGCACCAGTTAAGAGCAATCCCACGACATAAGCAAGGCCTGATTACTCATGCTAGCTAAACATCTGTCAATAGTTGTACTTTTATAGTAGCATTATATGTATAGAGAGAAACTACACAAAGGCCTTTACAACATTTACGTAATCAGATTAAAACGTAATTGCCGATTAATACATGCGATGGAAACGCAAAGCCCATGTATTCCTACTAAAGAAAACTGATTAACTTCTCTTACAAGGGTAGGATGTTTGCGGATTTGAAAGTATTGACGTATTTGGAAAAAGTAGTGCCAGGATACTGTAGCTCACCTGCATATATATAATATTTAAACACGTCAACAAATCATCAACTTCATTAGAAGTTGCTGTCTGTACTGATAATCACATGCATTCTGCATGAATACTAAGTACACAACAACAGTTAAAGTTAATGATTTAAACAAAATATTATGCAATCATAATGTAACCTTGTCATGTTACGATGATACACAATATGCCCGAATGGGTCGCCCACTGAACACGTCTGGGATGGAATGGAGCAGCGTGTACAACTTTATCCAAATCCTCCAACTACCCTGCTGGAACTCCGCGATATCATTCCTCGGATATGGAATGACGTTCATCGAAGTTTTATGACGTCAATGTGGCGTAAATGCCAGGTCTGGGCCAATGCACAATGGACACACTCGCTTCTGACTGTGTCAACTTGCCAGTGAACCCCCTTCTTGTGTTGTGGCTCATTGGCCAGGTTCTAATGGGGTATTGATCGTTGCCATATCTTCAAACACGTGTCTCCATGAGATAAAATTTCATTCGCGGCAGTAAAAGCTGAAAACTGATTCTGTTTGTTGTTTGTGTGTCGCAATAACTTGTGGCTTTGTGTATTCATAACTGTGCCATATTAAACTATTATCTGATGTCTTTCAAAGGTAAGATCCAAGCATTGGCCATAAATGCGTTTTTGGACAATAATCTTTCTAACGGATGGTGAAACTTATTCTTCCAACCTTTTGTTAAAATTCACACTCCAATTGGTCAAAAGCAGAGAATCGGAGACATGTAGGTTACATGTCCGTTCACAAGTGGCTAATTCGTGACAAACATCTATGGTCATCGAATCCGCTGATGTCAATCCACAAATATTCTAAATCCTTCCAAAATATGCAAGGGAACCTCCAGTACTTGTCCAGAAGTTGAAAACGTCTTCGTTTAGGTTCAATCCTTGCAGGATAGGAAGCAACAATCCGTCACTAGCAGTTTTGTATCACAAAGGTTACTTGTTTATGCGCACAAATCACTAAATGAGAGCATTGTCATTATGAACGATCCTGCACGCTTTCCGACGGATATTACAGGAAAAGACATGGCAATTTCATCTAAACAAATATGATCTTCTTGAGCTACAGGGTGCTATACATAGCCTTGTTTCGCTCAATACGTCATTTCAATCTGTTATCGTCCGATTAACTTTAGCCATATCTGACTCAGCACTCTACCACTTGGTGCACAAGCCTTGTTTATTTATGGGAATTATAATTGTATAAAATCTACTTGGGAGAAATGCTGAAACAAACATTAAATAGAAGACTGTAGAAGATTTCATTTATAACATTTTGACGTTATTTTATATGTAGGCAGCATATGATTATGAACTTAGATTGGTTGTGGCTATATACCCTTGATGGTGGTTGAAACACTCGTCCCCTTGTAAGTTATTGTCCCCTTGAAAGGGTGTACAAGTCCACGTCATACATAGATTATCCATATACATCATCTTTTTTTAGTTGTTGTATATCTGTACCTTTTAGATAATGGCTAACACTTGCGTACAATCGATAGCAGCTGACGGGAAGGTATAAATCCGACTGGGGAGCCGTGCAGGAAGTATTATTGTAAGTCCCCCGCGGGTCCCTGGTATGGTGGCCTGTCGTTGCTAGCCCCTGGCCCATTTTTGTGTTTGTCAATTGATCGTTTACTATTTTATTTCAAGTATCCTTAAAACTAGTTTTAAAACACTTTGTCATAAACTAGTTGTTACACTAGCCACATTAGAAACTGTGCATTGTCAAAACATTATCCCAGTTGATAAGTACGATAACAATGTCAAAGGTACATATAAACTTTAATGGAGGGATCATGAGACCATAACAAGTCGGGAGAATTTCAATTGAAAAGTCAATCACAATGACGTCACGAGTCCACGAGCGGGACAGGGGTCAAACGACCATGTCACAAGCTCAATAACGGGTATGTCCACCATCGGCATTGAGAACAGCAGTGCATCGACGACGCATAGAGCCTATCAAACGTGCAAGGAAGGCTTGTGGGATGTCACGCCAGATTCTCTCAAGTTCTGTTGCAAGGTCAAGGACGTTATCTGGCGGATGAGGAAGACGGTGTAGACGTCGATCCATCTCGTCCCAAACATGCTCTATCGGGGAGAGATCCCGTGAATTTGCAGGCCAAGGCAGTAAGTCAACGTTGTGGTGTTGCAAGAAATCCATAGCAACCCTTGGCGTATGAGGGCGGGCATTGTCCTGTTGGAATGTTAACCCAGGGCCATGACGTTGCAGAAAAGGAATTGCCACAGGTCGAAGAATCTGATCCCTGTAGCCCACACCAGTTAAGGTGCCCTGAACAATCACCAAAGGAGTTCTTTGACGTGCTGTTATTCCACCCCAAATCATCACGGAACCACCACCAAAGCGATTCCTCTCCAAGACACAGGCCTGTGCATAACGTTCTCCCACGCGTCTATAGGCACGTTGACGTCCATCACTATGGGAAATGTTAAACCTGGAATAATCTGTAAAAACAACATTTTTCCACCAAAACAAGGGTCTGCGGACATGATTTCGGCACCACATTCGGCGAGCTTGTCGATGACGTTGTGTCAGGATAGGCCGTATGGCGGGACGTCGTGGTCTGATCCCGTGATGACGTAAACGTTGTCTAACTGTGTTGGGGTGGATACGGCGAAGTCCTGGGATGGTTCGGGCAGTCATCACTGCAGTCTGAAACCTGTGGCGAAGATGGGTCACCCTTATCCATCTGTCCTGTCTTGGCGTTGTTACACGTGGACGTCCAGAACGTGGCCGATCGATGACGTCATTTGTGTTCTGGTAGCGTCTCACCAGTGCAGAAATGGTGTTCCGGTGGCAGTGGATATGTGCAGCCACTTGTCGTTGAGACATTCCCCCATGGACCATCCCAATGGCCTCATGACGTTGTGCAGACGTGAGCCTTGGCATGCTATGCGTTTCAATAGCCGTTTAATTTTTTGAACGATCGCAAGGGCAGGGGTTGAGCTTTCCAAAGTGACAGTATTGCGTGGCATTCATTTTCTCTGTTTCTCTTTCCCAGAATGCACGTGCAACAACGTATTGCACGTCTAAAGGGCGAACCCACTGACGTCACGGAACGTGGCACGTGCATTCATGTTGGATACATGTCACTAATCTCTGAGTTTAAATCCTTATGTGTCTACGCAGGTTTGATAAATTTAGATTTTAAATTTTTGTATGCACAGTTCCTTTATGTGCCTAGTATATTTGTGATTGATGTCTAGTTTTCTCTCGTCACGATATGACTGAAGTACTGCCGATGTCATGATAAATCTAAACTCACTCACGCATTTCCAACGACCATTTTCTATATTTTAATGCTAATTCTAAAACATTTTACACACAAAACAGGTATAGTTTCCTAAAGTAGAATGATCAGTCCACGATAATGGCAGCGACCATGCCCCGACTGTGTTAGAAACTGTTACAAAGTCTCCATCTTCAACAAGATGGAATTCTTATACATTTAAACAAAATAAACACTGCTCGTGACAAAATTATGTTTTAATTAATAACAATAATTGCACGCACGACCCTGTCTAAAGTATGGCTCTAAATCTCGCATAAATTACCTTAAGCATGGGGATATACTTTCCACAAGAACCACAAATACTGAAAAAGCGCTTCGTGCAACCCCAGCCAAACATTCTTACTTATGAAACTACGTCGCAAAATTTTGCAAGAATCAAAAGCAGCAAGAAATTAAAAGCATTAATTCTAAAATATATAATGGGAAGGATTGCAGTACAATCTTTTCATTAAAATGAGTTTCACGTTGCTCTTCAGCAAGTTCATGATACTGGTTCAGAGGCTGATAACATTCGCCGCCACTGTCTTTAACCAGCGGCGTTTGTAAAACCATGGAACGCATGTCTTTATTGAGTAGCGTTCAGAAGTTGTGAACAACGAGGAGAGTTCTATGCATGTACAACGTCTTTATTATCAATATGAGTGACGTTTCGGTATGATTTTTTATGTAAATATAGACCTTACCATTTAATATCAGTATTACCGATCAGAAGTATTACTTGCTAGATATTAATCCGAGAATTCAATTGGATTCCAGCATAATAAATACAATAGTCATCGAAATATGTGTTATCAAATGTTCGAAAATGAAGATGTATCGATATTTGATGAATATGAATGTGGTCGTTCAGTTCCGTGTATTATGTGTACGTTTTTGTAACAACAGCGAGCTGACACGAAATATTGTAACAAATGTTATATTTGGGATTACACTTTCTCAGTAAAGTACAGATTCTAGTGCTTTTGTTTTGGTTGAGTCTTATCGAGAATTCGGACCCACTCCCTCAGAGTCAGGCACATAATCGCCAGCATACAAAGTCAGCCGCATTACCAACTCTGCCGCCGTGGCTTCCAGTGAGAAATATTGGGTGTGCCTCACTGTTTACTTTGAAATCGCGACACTGCTTGAATCATGTTTTCCTTCATTAAAGTATAAATGGTCATTTTTCTTGTGATAGACCAAGTATTGATGAAAAAGTTAAGGAAAACTGCTACCCACCCGTTATTTTTTTGGGTAGTAAATATATGGTGGGTCGCCGTGCTTGTTTACCCAACAGAGGCCGCCATTGTTAAGTCCTTGTCTCGGTTAATGTAGCGCCAGCGCGGTATACCTA